CCCCAAAACCCCAAAACCCCAAAACCCCAAAACCCCAATACTTATTCTTTTTATTGAGAGCTTTTATTTATTTTATCAAGCAGAGTCAGAGATATGTTCTGACTTTCTTCATTATCCTCTCCTCCTTTTTCTTTAACTTTCTGCATGTGCAAACTCTTATTTTCAGATATTTCATTGAACTCAGTCAAAGTCAAGAATGTTACTAACTCTGAAAATGTTATTTGTTGTGTTTTATGAGGGTCAATCATCATCAGTAATCTCTCAACTTCCTCATCAAACCTGTCTTCATCGCTAGCAATAGACTGAGGGATTATCTTCATTTCATTAATCAAATACTTAAATTGATGTTCATTAATTATACCATCTTTATTGGAATCTGCTTCTTTGAAAAGAGAGACAAATCTGAACAGATACTTTTCGTGCTGGATCATTTGAAAATCACATATTCAATAAAGAAGGTCTTTAAAATATGCCCTACTGTCGTCCTTGTCTTGATTTCCTTTTATAAATCTTTCATCTCTTCTCCCGTTAGATCCTTCATCTTGATAGAGAAGCCTTACTCTCGACCTCGATTTGTTAGGAGTCAAATCCTTTCCCTTCACACTATTTGGAGATGCTGTGAAATTAGTCAATGCATTTGTATATTTTGGAGGAGTTACATTTCTTCCCCTGTTTCAATACAAATTTTCAAACTTAAGTTGAAGCTTCTTTCTATCGTCCAGCATTAGAATTATTCTCTTCTTATCGGCAGGTTCGTAGATATAATCAAGAATGTAGTTTCATACAGTGCCTGGAATAAAGCCTCGCTCCATATTTTCTTGAATCTCTGAGATCTCTTGTTCTCCTTTGTGCTTGTACTTTTCACGAAGATGCTTTTTAAGAACCTTTGAGACAGTCGCTTTGATTTTATCCTGAATGTATCTGAAGTCTTCTTCTACTTCATTTTTTAAAAGTTTTGCAAAGAGAGCAACATCAAAATCCTCCTTCATGTACATTTTGACACCATTCACAATACTTGCAGCCCATTCTATGATCAGATTCTTGAGCCCATATTTTTGATTGAGATGCGTAAACATAAACTGTTCCATTGTCTCAAGAGGAAGTCTAGTTCTTCTTCATTTTTCATCGTGCTTTTCTTTACTTTCATAGATTTCATTAATAGTGTCTTTTAACTGCTTTAGAGTCATACTCCTAATATTAGTTTGCCCAATCTGCTCATTCCTCTTTGCTGAACCCACATTTAGTAGCTTAAAAGTATCAACTTTATTTTGTATTTCTAAAACATGAAATGTTAAACCATACCTTCATTATTAGTTTTCTTCAGAGTGCCTTTATCCAATATTTTATCAGCTCTGTCCTTTGCATGTGTTACTAATTTATCAAACAGGTGCTGGTTTTCTTTCTCCATGTCTTCCATCTTGTCTTGCATTTCCTTAAGCTTTGTCTTATAACTCTCCTCCATTTTCTTGGTCTGCTCTAGCTTCTCTTGCACTTGCTTTTCCATGTTTTCCCCAATGTCAAGGACAGCTGCTTTTTCCATATTAGCTTTTTCTAAATTTCGTTTTAAATCTTGGATGGTCGCTTGTAGCTGTTGGTTCTCTGCTTTATTTTTGATCGTATTTATCAAACAGGGAAGAGTAGTCATTAATAATTTCTGAATGAATTTGGTATATATGAGAGTATACTTTTCCAATGTTCTTATCTTTCTTCTCTAAATATTGGCAAGCCTTTGTGTAACATATTTGGACAAGATCAAATTTTGTTTTTAGAATTGCATTATTCTTTTTGCTTATAGTGCAGTCAGAGAGAATAACATCAGAGAGCTTTTGCATTCATGATTTCAAGTGAGAGTCAAACTGACTAGCCATTTCTCTATCGTTGCTAAATTTGTTTTTACGATGCAGGTTTCTTATTTTATCAAAAATAAGAGCAATTGATTCTAAGTCTTTAGGTCTTAGATTTATTTCTTCCATATCAGAAGACTCTTGACTTTCAGAAGAAGGAGCTGAATGACTTGAAGGAACATTAATCTTTTGTGTATCTTGCTCTTGAGTCTTGTTAGCTTGAATAGGCCCCTCGGGCTCATCTTCATCGTCTTCTTCCTTAATCTGATGAATATTCTCTATTGATTTAGAGAGTTCTTGATCTTCTTGATCAATTTCTTCATTACTTGGCTCATCAATGAAATCTTCTGGGTTCACTGGATGACCATTCAAGTATTTGAGGTTAGGAAAAGTTTTGAGAATCAATTCCACCTCTTTCTCATCGTGTAACTCGATATTTAGAGACTCTGTTTTACTATCCATTAAAGAAAATTGTAAGAATAAATTTAAATTAATGGGGTTTTGGGGTTTTGGGGTTTTGGGGTTTTGGGG